TAATAACAGCACAAAACACAACAAAGCAAAAATGGACAATTATAAATCAGAGACATCCTGCAGGGGAGAAAGAGGGAGAGGGATCAGAGGGAGGGATGGAGGAGCACAGGGGACTGAGGTGATGGTGCATGGGTGCAATAGGGAAGGAAACTCAATGGGGACTACACCTGAGGGGGTGGGGGGAAGCAAATATTGTTTAAAAATGAACAATGATGTAAAAAAATAATAATTATTGAAAAAAGAGGAGTATGTGTAGATCCTCTGGGAAGTTTCTTAAAGAGAGAAGTATGTCTTTTTTTTCCCTCTGGTCTCCCTGTCTTGCATGTGGATGTCATAATTCAAGGTGAAATAGCCAATTCATAAGTCAGTGTGAAAATCACAGGTAACAATTGGTGGAGCAACCTGTCAGAAGTCTAGGGTCTCTGAGAGAAGCGCTATCTGAGCCTAGGACTGTTAGTATTTCCCTGAGAGAGATAAACCATGGTAATTTTGGGCTTTTCATCAGTACTATTATTTCCTTCAAATAATTATATTTTATTAGTTAGTTTCAACTATCTTAATATTACAACTATCTTATATTGCTTTATTTCATTTTAACTTGATAGTTTCCTGAAAATGAAAACTTCCCCTCTCTCTCTAAAATGTGCCAAACTTTTTATTGTTTTTATTGTTTTTATTCAATGTGACCATTCTTGTGAGCGTGGGAAGTTTGATCTCATAAACAATGTACCATTTATGAACCTTTTATACAGAAATTGCATCATGACTAATACTCAAAATATCTCAGTATTGTAAACTTACAAGGTAAACATAAAACTACTTGTTTCAGTAATGTACACTCAATGGAAAACAAAAAGGCATTAATAACAGCAATTTCTCTTAAGAAGATGTGCAGGTCATAGGAATGAACACTGAGACACAATGCTAAGTTGATAACACAGCTAAAGAAATGTAACTGGCATTTCCTTTGGGGATGGGGATTTTTACCAAAAAAAAAAAAAAATGCTTTTAAAACTACACTGTTTTATCTGTGTTGCCATGTCAAAATAATAGGCTTGCCAAAGTAGGCGAAATGTGTGAATGTTCAAGCTTCATAGAACTGAAATCAAGTTCACAAATAACATTGACCAAAGTTCACCATGTGACCAGGGAAAAACACTTGCAAGGCATTTGATTAGCTTGTCCTTTGCAATGTTCCAGGCTATTCACATTGACAATCCCTTTTATTGCTGTGTTTGCTGCAAGGGAGGTATATAACCAGTTGTTTGGGGTAAAATACGATGGGAAGGTTTTCCATGGGTTCTACATAAAAGTAAAACTATGGAAATCTGATGTCAATGTGTGGTCACTCACTTGATATATTTCTCAAATATAAGTGGTCTTCATAAGCAGTTTCCTAGCTAAAAGGTTCCTCAATTCTTGGAATGTCCTGATTGATGAGAGCAACATTTGTCATAATATTCATTGTCTTCAACAAGATGGTGGCTACCAGAGAGAAAGAGGTTGCAGGAGGGTGGAACAGGTGGAGGGTGTGGGTTGGATGATGGTGTAGGTTAACAAGACTTGGTAGTGGGCATCGTGTGACATATATAGTGGTTGAGGTGTGAAGTTGTATACCTGAGTAACCTGTATACTTCTATAGGGTTGTTAGGTAATATTATCTCAATAAAAAATGTGTATTTTTTGGTTTTTGTCTCAGTTCCTGAAAATGCTTCAAAGCTATAAAAGAGCAATCAATGTCTTTTTATTATAACAAGCCCTTTTATACCATAGCTGGGTTAATGCTCATGAAAGTGACTTTTGGAAAGCTCCTATATAGATGGGGCTGATTGTCATGGGAGCCACCAGGTAATAGAACATTTAGCCTTGTCCCTTAATTTTGGGGTCTGGGGAGAGGGGCTGGAACTCACAGATAGTCTAGGCAAAAGATGTTTTGAAGTGGTAGGTTACAAGTTGCCCCAAATCCTATTTGAACTGACCAGGTAGAGTAAATCATGGACCAGCAAGCTCTATCTCAACATCCTGTCCAAACAATCTGGCCCACCACCATGCTAGAACTAAAGCTTTAGATCCTGACTAGTGATTATCTCATAATTTCCTGGTGGGAGAAGACCAAGCGTCCACAAATATGCTGTCATTATGCAACTTGTCTCCTCCTGTCCTGGCATAGCTTAACCCAGAAAAGCTATGGTGTTTCTTTTCTCCTCCCTGCCCTTGGACATATCCTTTAAAAATATCTCCTCCTAACCCCCTTTATGAAGGTAGGCCAATTTTCTGAAACTAGAGCAAACTAATCATCCCCAAAGAGGAAGGTCATGGGAACCTCTGATTTATTATTAATTGATGAGGAGCCCCAACCAGTTGGAGTTGTGATTGGCATTTTGAGTTGGAGGTCTTTGTTGGAAGCTTAATTTACAGGTGATCAGTCAGAAGCATAGGTAACAACCTAGGCTTGAGAACTGGCATCAGATGTACAGTTTTGAGGGACTGAGGCCATTTTCCTGTGTGATTTCATAGGAAGTGTCAGAATTCAGTTGAATTTTCAAATACCCTGCAGGTGACCAAGAATGGCTGTAGGATCTCCTTACGTCTCCCCATGCAAAAAACATTTTCATTGGGTCTAGGAACCCACAAAAATCACTGACAATTTACTTAAATAAAAGATATTACCTGCATTCATTACTTTGAAAGGGCCCATTGGAAAAACAAGAACTCCCCCCTCCCCGCAAAACCTAATAATTATAGTATTTATTGAATATTCAATTGATTGAGTATACTCAATTGGCTGACTGAAGTGGAGTGCCTTAAGATCCTGCTGGCACTTGACTGTCCGAAGGGTTTTCCTTTAAGTGAGAAATTGTGTCCCAATTTCTCTCCAAGTGATGAATGGTCCTTAATACCATCCAAGCTACTTGCCCTTCATGCTTAATACCTGTAAATTTATTTTAAAGGTTATCTTTAGAGGTGGCATCATTTTTTCTACTTTATTCAAGGTGCGCTCTCAGGAGTCCAGAATATAAACACTAGATATCCTTTCCTAGTTGTTTCTTAGTTCATATGTTGTATTATATACAGCATATAAGCAGTAGCAACTTCACAGAAGATGTGTAGGTTTCCTCAACAGTATCGCCAGCGTCACCCACCAAGATCTGGCTTGCTTCCTGTACAATTATTTGGGTTTTTTTGGTCATCACTTAAACAGAGCTGCTTGCTCTTTCTTTCTTTCTACTCCTCTGTAGAAGATTTCCTTACTTTCATATTATCCAAAGGTTTGGTGACTTCATTCACTGGAACTTTAGAAAGTATGATGTCCTTGCTGCTGCCAGGCTCTGATTTTTGGCAGTGGGAGGAGCAAGTCAAAATGTAGTCTCTCGGGTTCGTGTCTGTATCCACAGAGCTGAGAACAGGGCCTGGAAGACAGTCATGACTCAGTAAATATTTGCAGAATGAATGAATGAAGGCCACATTGAAATTGGATTTCTCTAAGGTATCAAGTTTCTGTTTTGACAAACCAGAATGGAGAATTTCAAGGAACTTGGAAGGTTTTATAGTTGAGGAAACTAACGTTTACAGGGGATTACATACGACTCATAGTCCACACTGTTTTCTTGTTTACCAATTGTAGGCCAAACTCTCCAGTCGGGTATGATTTTTTTTTTTCATCGTGACCGACTAGGATTTATTCCAGGGATGCAAAGATGGTTCAACACATGGAAATCAATCCATGTAATTCATCTTTTCAACATAAGGAAATAAAAAATCATACGGTCATATCAAAGGCCAAGACGCATCTGTTCAGACTCAGCGCACATCTAGGATAAAAGCTCTTAGTGAAATGGGGGTAGAAGAAACGCAACAGGACAGAGCCCTCTCTGCAAGCTGACAGCGGACACCAAGTACAGTGGCGAGAGCTGAAGCTTCCCTCTGAGGTCGCGCATGACTGCTGTCAGCCTGCTGCCCTCCGGGCTGCGCGCCTGCTGGCGGGGTGTCGGGGTGTCGGGACTGTCGGGGTGTCGGGGTAGATGGGGTGTCGGGGCAGGCGGGGTGTCGGGGCGGCGGGTGGCGGGGTGTCCCGGCAGGCGGCGAATCGGGGTGTTGGGGTGTCGGGGCTGGCGGGGTGTCGGAGCTGGTGAGGTGTCGGGGTGTCGGGGCTGGCAGGGTGTCGGGGTGTCGGGGGTGTCGGGGTGTCGGGGCAGGCGGGGTATCAGGGCTGGCGGGGCAGGGGGTTGTCGGGGCAGGCGGAGTGTCGGGGTGTCGGGGCAGGCGGGGTGTCGGGGCAGGCAGGGTGTCGGGGCTGGCGGGGCAGGCGGAGTGTCGGGGCAGGCGGGGTGGCTGGGCTGGTGGGCTGGCAGGGTGTTGTGGCTGGCGGGGTGTCAGGGCAGGCGGGGTGTCGGGGCTGGCGGGGTGTCGGGGTGTCGGGGTGGCCTGGCTGGCGGGGACTGTGCGCGGGGCCATCTGGGGTGAACGGGACTGTCCATCGCCTCCCCCGCAGGTCAGCGCACTGGGCGCGGCGGCCACACCGGCCTCCAGGGTCGGGGTCCAGTCGCGGCGGGGGGGGGCTGTCCCGGTTCCCCCGTGGCAACGCCCCCCGCCCGCTCCCGACTGGCCTTTAGTACCTCCCCGCGGGGCAGGCCCGGGGCGCGCGGCCGAGTCCCCCCGCGGAGCGCTCGGCGGGAGGGCGGGGCGGGCGCCCCAGAGTCAGACCCGGGCTCCCCGAGAGGCGCCGGCGCGGACAGGGGGAGGCCGCTGCAGGGAGAGCGCACGCCGCCTCCCCGCCCCCGTCTCCCCGCCCCGTCTCCCCGCCCCCGTCTCTCCGCCCCCGACTCTCCGCCCCGCCCCCGTCTCCCCGCCCCGCCCCCGACTCTCCGCCCCGCCCCGTCTCTCCGCCCCGCCCCCACCCCGCCTCGCCCCCGTCCCCCCCCGCCCGGCGCCCCGCGCCGCCCCCCGCCCCCGCCCCGCCCGCCCCGCCCCGCGCGGCGATTCGCCGCCCGCCCCCCGCCGTCCCCGCGGCGTCATGGCGGCGCTCAGCAAGGCGTTCGGCGCGTCGCTCCCGCACAACTGCTACGAGGTCGGGCACACCTGGCACCCGTCCTGCGGGGTCGCCTTCCTGCAGATCACCGGGGGCGCGCTCGAGGAGTCCCTCAAGATCTACGCGCCCCTCTACCTGGTGAGCCCCGCGGGCGGCGGAGGCCGGGGGGGGGGTCGGGGTGGGGGGGCCGGGCCAGGGTTCCGGGGGGCCGGGCCGGGGATCCAGGGTGTCCGGACGTGGGGCCGGGGGTCCTCCCGCGAAGGGCCGGGGGCGGGGGGCGCCCGGGGCCTGCGTCCGGGCGGCAGGTGGGGGCGAGCGGTCCCCGAGGCCTGTGCGGGCGGGGCGGGCGCCCCACTTCATGGTCGACGTCAGGACCCAGAGCGCGGATCGGGCCCCCGGCACCCCCTTTCCGCGCCGGGAGCTGGGGTGCCCGCTCAGCCCCCGGCTCTGCTTTACCCCCCGCCCCCAACAAGGGCGCGCACGCACCAGCCCCTGCGCCCCGGGCCGCCCGGGGTGCGGGTATCCGCAACCTCACAAAATAAGCTCCCCCTGAGCTGGTTTCCAGGCGGAGTTGTCCGCGGGGGCCGGAGGGGGGCAGCGCGGGCGGCAGGGCGGCCGAGCCCGGACTTTGCCACCTGAGCCCGTCGCGCAGGCTCACCTGGAAAGCGGCTGAACCCCCAGTTTCTCAGGAGAGTGTTTGGAATTAGGTGTTTATCATGAGGACTGCTGAAACTTCTTAGGTGTTGTCATTAGCATCTGTGGTTCTCCCCCCCTTCCCCCCCCGCCCCAATAACCTTGTCTTTGGTAATAGGGGTTTGTTATTTTGGCTACTGACATAGATTCTCTCAATCCCCCTCCCCCCCCCCATACAGCCTGTGCCCCCAGAAGACAGACATCAGGTATTTTTGGCGTTTCCTGAAAGCTCCACTCAATATTCAGTGGGTGCTCAGTTCTCCTCCTGGAATTGTCATTTGTGTTTGTGCCCTGGTGCGCCTGGACGTGCTCCTTGTAGTGCCACTTGAAATTCTGATTATTTCTTACAGACATAATGCAGAAGTCGGTGACTTTCTTTGAGCTTGATATGCCAGGAACGTGTGTTTTTTTTTTTTTTTTTTTTAATCAAGGTGCGATGAGGCAGGAAGGTCATGAAAAGTCTGTGTTTTACCAATACCTATCCAACTAGATATATAAGTACTTCCTGAGGATAAATTCTCCATCTCATTTGGCCTTATTTTTCTTGTACTCTCTGTGTAATTCAAATTTTAGATCACTACTTATTAGCCATAAGTAAAATTAGTGGGAACTCACCCGTATTTTCAGTGAAATAGAAGATAATAGAAAATATTAGAGTGCATAAGCCTTATTTCATGACAATTTTGTTTCAGTTATATTTGTATGTGTGGCTGGGGCTACTTAGAGCATATTTTAGCACTTTTCTAAGTGTCCAATAGTTGATTAAATGTGTAACCCCAGGTCCCAGAAGTTAAGGTGGTATGTCAGTGCCATCAATTACTAGATGTTTCACTGTGTATGTTACTTTGCCTTTTCTTATGAGAATTAAGTTAAACAATGCTTTAAAGATTAATCACTTATTTTTTAGTCCATAGTAGGTCTTGAATAATAGATATTTTTTCTTTCCCTTACCCCAGTGGCTTGTTAGTTATCTTGAAGTTCGTTGAGGGTGACTAGGGAAGGCTTCTTGGTGGAATTTACGTTTGGCATGGACAAAGAGAAAGATGGATTTGTTTAGTAAATATTTGTAGAATACCTATTTTTTTTTTTAAAGATTTATTTATTTATACAAGCACTGGGTACAGTCAGAAACACGGGAGTGTGAGAGAATTCACCAGAGCCAGAGCGGGGAGCAGAACAGGCAGACTGAAGAAGCACACTGCTGAGGGGAGCAGCGGGCGGCAGGAGAGGTCTGTGCGCCATGTGGGACCTTCGGCCGGCAATGGAACCCGTGCTGCAGAGGCTGTGGGCAGCTTCGCAACCCAGCGCTCAACCGCTGCACCACCAGGGAGGCCCCAGAATACCTATTCTTAATGGAGGGAGAATAGTGTGCATTGGGACAGAAATCTGAGTGGTTCTGTAAGAGAAGCAGAATGTATATTGATGGGCTAAAACAAGCTTGTTGTTTAGGAATAATGAGCAATAACAATTCTTTTTTATTGGACACTTATGTGCTTAGACTTTTAGGTATTCTTATTGATCTTTATACAACTTCATCTTATCCCCATATTACAAGTAAGAAACCTGAAGGGTTGAGAGATTAAGTGACTTCTAAGATTCAGAACTAGTAAGGGAAAGAGACAGGATTCACTTCCAGGTTTTTAAATTTTTAAATGAGCTAACATGTTTTAGGAGTGAGGGCAAGCTGATTCTAATGTATGATACCATATCACGACCATCACAGAGATACTGATAACCCTACACCACAATCTAGGTTGGTGTTTTTTTTAAATTTCAAAGTCAGACTGAAGGCCAGGCTAAGAGGGCCATTGAGAATTTTTTTTACCAAAGGGGTTACAAGTACCAAATTGTCTTAAGTTGATGAATCTGTTAGTACTGGGTGGACTGGATTGGAAAGTTTGTGAGTTAATGAAGTAGATTCACTACAAGATAGAAAGAGTAGTTGCTGTGGAATCCCACTCTGCAAATTACTAGCAGTGTGATCTTAGGAATTACCTCACCTCTTTAAGCCTTAGTCTTATTGCTTTGCAGAAGATAATTATACCTGTTTTTTAGGGCTGTTGTGAGGATTTAAATAGAATACTGCTGTATAGGAATAGCAACTGTTATGCAATAGGGCCCTAATAAAGTGTTGTTATTATTAAAATAGTACATTAATTTGCTGTGTCTGTCTACTCTTAGAATGTGGTTTGATAGAGAAAGCCAATATTTCCGTAAGTGCTTAATAAGTGAATGAAAGTATCAATGAATGAAGGCATGAATAGTTTACGAATGAGGAGGAGGTCTGAGTGCCAGAGAGAATGAAAGGGCAGTTCCAAGAGGCACTTTGCAAAAGACATTTCACAGGGAAGGTATTTCCCAGGAGGAATGAACAGGACTCAAGACTGAGAACATTGGGGCAGTGTGAGGACTTGTTTATGCGTCTAGGGTTTTAAGTCTGATGCTGGTGCCATCATTGACGGTGCCATCATTGATGCTGGTGCCATCACATTGAGAAACTGTGAAGGGAAGCTGATTTGGGGGAAATTTTTAATAAGAGTGTTTTCTGGAGCCTTTAAAATGGATCTTGTTTATGTTTTTCATTTGAAGTATTACCATGTGCATTGTGCTAAACTGATTCCTGTTGTTCCTTTTATGTTTACTCACTATGCTTATGTTTCTTTTCATCTTGTTGTCTACACATGTTCTTAGCATTCACCTTTTATGGCTTAAACCATTTTGAAATGAAGTTGTACTGTTCCTTTTAGTAGTGAATCTTTGTGTTTTCACAGTTGTAAGAAACATCAATCTTCATCCTCAATTCACTTCATGAAATTTTTTTTTAAAGAATTCTATACATATGGTATATATGCTACAAATTTATGCATGTGCCAAAAATATATTTCCAGGAGTTATATTTATTTCCTGGATGTTAGTTATTGTCACACATTCATAATAAGTGGCACCCTTCTCCACACATATACGTATGACAGTTATTAAACTGCTTAAACCCTCCAGCTGCCCCTCAAATTGATAAAAGCACAATATTCTTGGCAATGTGTGTCAAATTTAGATTATATTCATATATGGGGGATGAATTCTGTGCTGTTCAAGTTTTTAGGTACTTTGTCTGAGATAGAAAACTTGTTCATTATCTTAGTTGGTTCTAAGAACTTTCTTAATTATGCACTTAGGGTTTTCCTGGTTGACTTTCTTCAAGATCTTCAGGATAGGGTACTAACATTTACCTTTAGCTGAGTCCTAAGTAGAACCTTTTGTACTTTTTGGAAAGAATGATTTAAAAACTTGCTTCTTCATTGATCTTTGGATGTTTACACCTATCTGCAGAGCATGAGAATGTTTACTTAATATTTGCTTCCTTTGAACCATATCATCTAACAAGTCTGTTAGATTATAAAGAGTCAGTTGATCACCTCTAAACTCTGAGTAAACACTAAATCAAGACTTGAATTTTTAGGAAAAAAATTAACTTGTGGACAGTCCCTGGTTAGTTGCTAAAGGCTTGAAAACCACTGACAGTGAAGAAATCAATTCGTTGTAGACTGAGTTTTTTTTTTTTTAGTGTTGTCAACAGATTCATCCTATGCGAAAAAATATAATTCTACAACACTTCCAATGCCTAATAATCTACTTAGAATTAGCTGTTCAGTATGATTTAAGAAGCAGGATCTTGAATTTTGGGATTAAATTGCCTATTTTAGAATTCTAACTCATTGTTTACTTGTGAGTTGCGTAACCTCAGACAAATTACCTGTATTGTTAAGTCTTAATTTCTGCATCTGTAATATTGGAGAAACTTTTTTTTAAAAAAGATTTGTTTATTTATGCATACAAGAACTGGGGCACAGGCCAGAGATGTGGGAGGGTGAGAGGATTCATGAGAGACAGAGCGGGGAGCAGAACAGGCAGATCTACTGAAACACACTGCTTAGGGAGCAGCAGATGGGATAGAGTCAGGAGAGGTCTACTCAGCCATGTGGGTTGCTCCTTGCCTGGGGATCCAGCTCATACTGCAGAGGCTGCGGTTTGCTTCTTGGATTGCTTCATAGGTTGCATCTTAACCGTTTGGGCAACCAGGGAGGCCCCCTCCCTTTTATTTTTGTGAAGCCTTAAGTTAAGAGGGTGGAGGTGAGGGATACATTTTAATCTCTATGTTGGGTAAAAAAAAAAGATGATTCTTAAACAGTTTGTTATTGTTCCTTTGTAGATGTGATATTCATTTACTTTTTTTAAAAAAAGATTATGCATACAAGAATTGGTACAGGCTAGAGGTATGGGGGTGAGAGGAGTCACCAGAGACAGAGTGGAGAGCAGAACAGGCAGATCTACTGAAACACACTGCTGAGGGGAGCAGCAGGTGAGTCAGGAGAGGTCTGCTGAGCCATGTGGGTTGCTCCCTGGCCAGGGATGGACTCATGCTGCAGAGGCTGCAGGCAGCTCCATAG